CACCTTGACTTCCTACAGCTTTCACCTTCTCAATACGGTCACGTTGACAGCTGAGATTCCATGTGTGCCTGTCACGGGGACACATTCAGACCACAGCAGCACCTAACAACACGTGACCTCACTGGGCCCACTGTTCCCGGGACTCAAGGATGGTGCAGTTCCACTCTACCAACAAGGACCTCGAGTCCCTGGAAGGCTTCTACCACGTCCTGGGCAGTGGCTTTGCGGGCTACGTGTGAGGTGCGCATGCTCATGCTGCTCTACTCCTCCAAGATCTTCATGGGCCTTTTCCCTTACGATCTGAGCGGCTTCGTCAATGGCATCTGGCAGGTCATCACCAACCACCAGCTGGTGCAACAGCACAGGGCTCCAGCTCCGCCTGCCGCAGCCCCAGCCTCAGGGTACTGTGGGCACCACTGCTGCCGCCGGACAGCCACATCCTCAAGGAGCTGCCCACACCCTGGCTGGAGCCTCCGAGGGCCATCCTGGAACCCTGCCCCTTCTGGACCCATCCTCTGGCCCCAGACCCCTGGGGCCAACCCACAGCTATGAAGCCTCATTTTCAACCCGCCCCCACAGAACATGGTTACCCCACCACAGGCCTCCCTCCACCACCCCCAGAGGCTCCCGCACTGCTGCTCCCACCATACCAGGGCCTAAGGCACCTCCAGCTGGGGTCTCCATTGCTGCATCTCCCAGGCACACAGTCCCGGCCTACACAGGTTCCTGGCCAGGTCAGATGCTGCTGAGTGGCAGTTCCCCGGGGCCTAGCGTCATGGAGTAAACACACACACACACACACACACACACACACACACACACACACACCCAGGCGTCATGGAGTAAACACACACACACACACACACACACACACACACACACACACACACCCAGGCGTCATGGAGTAAACACACACACACACACACACACACACACACACACACACACACACACACACCCAGGCGTCATGGAGTAAACACACACACACACACACACACACACACACACACACACCCAGGCGTCATGGAGTAAACACACACACACACACACACACACACACACACACACACACACACACACACACACACACACACACACACACCCACCCCCCCAGGCAGGAGGCCAAGTGCTCCTGAGTGCTGAAATGGAAGGGCTGAGTACAAATCTGAGAAGCCTTCACCAATTAAAGGGAGTAAAAGGGAAAAGTTGCCTGAACCTGGATGGGGGAATGGGCGTACCGAAGTCCCTGAGGCAGATAAGTACCCAAAGCTGAGCATCTTCCTGCCAGAGCAAAGGGAGTGGGGAAAGAGGAGGCTGCCTTCCCCGGGCCACAGGAACGTACCCAAGGCTGAGCCGCGATCTTCCTGCTTGAGCAAGAGGCATGAGATGCAACGCAACAGGACCAGCCCACAGCTTGCTCTTGTAAAACAGTGAAGCTGTGTACCCTTTGGTGTTTTGTAGGATTTGAATATTTTTAAACAGTCAAGTCAGTTGAGGAGTCCATTTGGTTCTTTAAAATGACTTTATGGGCCCAGTGTGGTAGCCTAGTGGCTAAAGTCTTCACCTTGTGTGCCCAGAATCCCATGTGGATGCCAGTCCATATCCTGGCTGCTCCACTTCCCTTCCAGCTCCCTGTTTGTGGCCTGGGAAAGCAGTTGAGGATGGCTCGAAGCCTTAGGAACCTGTACTCCCATGGGAGCTCCTGGCTCCTGGCTTTGGATCAGCGCGGCTCTGGCTGTTGCAGTCACTTGGGAAATGAAGCATCAGATGGAAGATTTTCCTCTCTCTCTCTCCTCCTCTCTGTATATCCAATAAAAATAAACATTTAAAAATATTTAGTAAAATAAACTTACTGTCCTTTCATTACTGTTTTAAAAGATTATGTGAAAGAGAGACACAGATCTATCTGTTCGCTGGTTTGTTTCTAACTGCTTTGAGGAAGTAATTTTTTTCTTTATTATTTTTATACATAAAATTTATGTTATGATCATCCACTTTATCAACAAAAGCGAAATTCAACATTACAGTAAATTGAGACAACACATACTCAGAGGCTACATACTCTTATTTAAAGGAAAATTGTTACTTGGATCTCTGGTTCTTAAACTTCACCCCGAGGACAGATCACTGTCTCACACAGCCTCCCACCGCTTGGAATTTCTCATTCAACAGAGTGGGACGGGAGCCGTAGCTTCCAGTGTGCCCAGAAGGTGATCTGCGTAGCTAGAGATCACTTTGAGAACCACGAGTGAAACAATGGCACGTGTTTCATTCTTTGGTTGACATTCTTTCAGGCAATCTGAGGATCAGATATGTCCATCTGCATCATCTTTTAAAATTTATCATTTTTAAATTGATGATGATCTTTACATGGTTGATTAAGGCGCAAGGGGTCAAGAGCTAGAGGAAAGTGTAAGACCATTGTTTCCACATTTTCTTTCTTCCTTTCTGTATCTGAGGGTGGGGGGATTTAAAGGGAGAAGCCTAATCATTCCAGGGTCCCCAGTGTGGGGCGTGCTCTGGGGGCACTGTGCAAGTGGTTTTGATAGTTCAACAGTTCGGTATTGTTGTCAATCTTGCCACTCCAGTCACAATAAAATCTCTCCAGACGCCACTGGCTGACATGGTCCACCTTAGAGTCTTCATTTGCCTAGATTTTCACTGCCAAACACTTGACAGGGGTAGTTGATCAATTTGTTCTGTCCTCTGTAACGGTACCATGTGTCCTCTGCAGGTTCTAATGTACTGTCATATCTTCCATGTGCAACTGGCTATGCTGTCCACTGTTTCGTCTAACCACTGAGGAGGCCCAGCTCTGACAATCACTCCACGGTTGGACCGTGGATCCTGCAATTCTCTCCATGGTTGAAGTTCTGAGTTCAGCAGTTCAGTTGGAGGATCCCCAAAGAAACCTCATCTGAGGTGATCCCAGACCTGATTCTTGCATGTGCTTGCAAGGGTCTGATAAAGTCTGTCACCCCAATCAGTGTATGTGCACCCTGGTGGGTGTGATTGCCGAGTCAGTTCTGTTTTCAGCCCTGTCCTCTACACAAACCCATGGCTGTTGCATCCCAGCCCAGTCCCACCCACCACACACTTGGCCACATAAACCAGTGGGAACTGCAGCCTAGTTGGGGCGACCTGCACTATCTCCCACCAGGCATGCTCCTTCCCTGGTTCCCATGCTTGCCAACATGTAAGGCAGACTGGTCCAATCTGTTCCACATCCTAGTTATCTCTCCTGCATGTCAATGGGCATTGAAGCCTAGTTCAACCCAACCAGCCCCCCTATCCAGCCCACACATGTGCGGGCAGGTGCCATTCTTGGTCTAGCCATGCTGCTGCAGTCCTGGTTCTCATGCTCACCAGAGTGGCAACCCAAGAGGGAGGTACCCACTATTTTCCTACTGAGCCCACTCCTCCCGCTTCTGGATCTTGCACTCTCCAAGTAGTTCTGCAGTTTAACTTGACAGAATTTGTCCCCGTGCTAGCATCTGCCAGCTGATGCTGTGGCAAAGCTTAACCCACCCACACCCACTCTGGCTTATGCATGCATCAGTAGGAACGGTCAACCCAGCCCGGCCCGACTTTTCCCTGATCCAGTGCATATGAGGCCACCAGGTGTTGTAGCCCTGCCTGGCCTGGCCTGCCCATAATCTCAGCTCTCATGCTCACGAGTGCACCCCGTGCCCCTGCTGTGTTCACCCCCTATTCCCCTGGCACCACTCCCAGTTCTAGCTCACACTGGTGCAGGCTACAGCCTAGCCCAGCCCAGCCCATGCAGTTTCCAGTCCTGGCCCTAATGTAAGCTGGCTGGTATTGTGGCTTGACGAACACACCATTCTGGCTCTCGGATTTGCCAGCGGGTGATATGAACTGGCCTAGCCTGGTTCGCCCCAGACCAGAGCCAAATTTATGCTGGTGGGTAGCATTAACTGCCCTGGCCTGGCCTGCTCCCTGTCTTGGTTCTTGTGTTTACTTGTAGGGACTGTGTCCCAACAGAGTTGCCAAGCTCCTCCATCATAACCTCTCCCAATGCCAGATCTTGCACATACTGGTGGGTCCATGGACCAGTCCTACTTAGTCCACCTTCTGTCTTAGCAGGAATGGGGACCTTACTGACCAGCCCGTACCCTTTCCGGTTCTTACTGTCGGGCTGCATCACCTGTCAAGTCAAAACAGAACACCTGGTTCTGTTTAAAATAGAAACACTTAAAAAAAAAGACATGTGTATTTCATTGGAAAGGCAGATCTACAGACACATTTTCCTTCAGCTGACTGACTCCCCAAGTTGTTGCAATACCCAGAGCAGAGCTGATTAGAAGCCAGGAGCTACTCACGTGTCTCCTGTGCAGGTGCAGGATTCCAAGGCTTTGGGCCGTCCTCAACTGCTTTCCCAGGCTATAAGGAGCTGAATGGGAAGCGGGCTGTTAGGACATCAATCAGCATCTATAGGGGAGTCCAGCGCATGCTGCTAGGCTATGGCACAGGGCCCTAGAAACAAAATCTTAAAGGGAACATTAAACACAGAAGCCCTGTGTTTCTCCCATGGACATATTCATCTCAGCAGGCTGGAGATGTTCTACTAGTTAGAGCCCAACACAAGCCCTTTCCCCATGGCGAAGCTCCCTCCGGGCTGCCAGCAGCCAGCCTCCCGCAGTGCACAGTGTATAGTGTGTGATGACCTGCACTCTTGGCCATGCGGTTTCACGTTTTAGTTATGTCAAGCTTCCTGCTGGCAGGCTCCCGGAAGCAGCTCTCATGCTGCAAAAGCTCCCTGACAAAGCTAAGACCTAGCTTTAGACCTAGCTAACTCAAGTGTTTTTGCTACTGAAACACCAGTGCAATCTAAAGCTGCGTGCCTTGAACTATTCTTGCTTCCACTTCCCAAACAAACCCCAAGAGCACTTCAGACCTCACTCCCTGGCGTGAAATCACCAGGGCGGCAGCTACCTCCCAGTCTTCCTTACACCAATGCCCAGCTCTCTCACTGATAGAGGGGGTGGCCCTAAAAAGGGCCTTTGGGGTGTGAAGTCAGCGGCGGCAGCTCAGCCTCCGAAGCCGTAGAGCGTGCGGCCCTGGCGCTTGAGCGCGTAGACCACGTCCATGGCGGTGACGGTCTTGCGCTTGGCGTGCTCGGTGTAGGTGACGGCGTCCCGGATCACGTTCTCCAGGAACACCTTGAGCACGCCGCGCGTCTCCTCGTAGATGAGGCCGGAGATGCGCTTGACTCCGCCGCGGCGAGCGAGGCGCCGGATGGCGGGCTTGGTGATGCCCTGGATGTTGTCCCGCAGGACCTTGCGATGGCGCTTGGCGCCGCCCTTGCCGAGCCCCTTGCCGCCTTTGCCCCTGCCAGACATGGCTAAACCCAAGCCCAGAGCAGAATGTGCCGCAGCCCGCCACGGCGGCTCCTGATATACGGGCGGATCGGACCGGGTTGAAAACACAGCGCGCTCCCGGCAGTCCCCGCGCTCTCGCCCTGACGTCATCCCTTTTCAGCTTCCCTCCGCATCCCGTGGCCCCGCGCCCTTTTCCACAGGCTGAACACCCATCTCCCGCCTCGTCTCCTCGCCGCGGCTCCGGGGCGGCTGAGAGGAAAGGCCGGGGAGCCGAGGAGGCGCGCCTGGAAGCCAGGGTCGGTGCGGGATCGAGCCCCACGCTCGGCGTCGCCGGCCACGGTCACTCTGCCGTGAGGCCCACGGCGGCCGGCGTCCTCGAGGCGGGGCGCCATCTTCCCTGCGTCCCCTGGGCTTTGTGCACAGGAAGCACCATTTTGAAGCTCAACCAGGACACATTAGGAGCTCGGAAGGCTGGTCACTACAGCGCCCTGGAGGCCAGTGAATCCCAATGCACTGTTACCCAAACGTGTTGATTATCCAGTACGTGGGGTGGGGCGCCTTAATCCTTATTTCCTGCGGTTTGTTTTTCGACCTGTTGGCCGGAAGATGTAGAATTCGAATTGGGTCCCCCTCTCCCAGCATTGAACTGGCAGGACTGGGTTTTGCTGGAGAACACCAGCTTGCATACCGAGTCATAACCACAAAGTGCCCCCACGAAACCGACGGAGGTCCCTACTGCGCACATCGCGCGATAAGGAGAGACCAGGAGAAAGAAAGCGTTGTGGTTTTTGAAAAAAAAATCTTTTAAAATATTGGTACCCTGTTGCCCCTCTCCCTCAGCTCTATCTTCATGATGGCGAGTCCCACAATATCACCTGTCCAGACTTCTGAGAGGCTCGAGTAATTTTACACTCAAACCCTCCCAAACCGAAAATATCGGAACTTAACATCTCCTTGCGGAGGGGATGTGAAAGGATTCATTCTGTCACTCACTCGTCTTCCCGTAAGCCTGATCATGTCTGCTCATCCGAAGGGTTGCCTTAAGTTCTATGTAGCTAGCTAGAATCCAAGCGAGGCTGACCACAGCAATTTCTGTAAACACCCATGCTAGCTGCTTGGCCTAAGGTGGACGTGGATTGATTTGTAATGGGCACTACCTGAGTTGATTGGAAAATCCCTGGCTGCTGTGTGGCAATGGGAACTTAAACACCTCTGACTTCAGCCATGAGGGGCCGTGGTTTCTAGAGTGTGGTGGGAGCTACTGTGCAAGCTTGGCCAATAGAGACTCCTCCTCACATCCTAGGCTTGGATCTGGCATGGTCTCTCTCGCCCTCTCACCAAGGCTGACAGAAAATGAGTTTTGGTGTCACAATGTTGTGGGGAATATCAGCTGAAAAGACCAAGGAGACCTTAGTTCTTGTTTCACAGAGAGATTTTCATGTAGACAATGTCAGTGAGCAAGGCCAGGTTAATTAAGAATGTTAAAGATGGAAATCAGAGGGTTTTTTTTTTTCCTTTTTCAGGGGGAGGGGCAGATTTATAGAAAGACAGATCCTTTGTCTGCTGGTCCACTCTCCAAGTGGCCAAGCAGCCAAAGCTGATCCGAAACCAGGAGCCAGGAGCTTCTTCTGGGTCTCCTATGCTTGATGCAGGGTCCCAAGGCTTTGGGCCATCCTCTACTGCTTTCCCAGACCACACGCAGGGAGCTGGATGGGCAGTGGAGCAGCCAGGACACACACTGCCTGGGATCCTGGTAGTAGCAAGGTGAGGATTTAGCCACTGAGCCACTGCGCTGGGCCCCAGAGGGAACTTTTCAAGAGAGATTCAGGAAAAGTGTGGAAGTCAGGCCTTTTAAGCACAATTTCAGTGAGCAGAACCATGCTAACAATGACAAGAGGGCAGGGACAGAGCCCTAGCACAAGGCCACAACCGAGATCCTGTCTCACTTGCTTAAGGTAAAACAAAAAAGCCATCAGGGCCTGCAAATGGCTTAATTTGCTAGTCGTCCCCCTGCAAACAGTGGGATCCCATAGGGGCACTAGTGAACGAGCAGAAGGATGGAAGATCTTTGTTTTTGTCTCTCCTCTTTGTCTAAATCTGACTTCCAACAAAAATAAGTAAATCTTAAAGAAAAAAATCAAAAGCCATCAAAAGGAATGACTGAAAACTTTCTTTTCAATCTCTTGATAAACTATAAACTCAGAAGGGTGGGGGGGTACTTTTGTCTTGCTAAAGGCACCTTCTGGGCAGAAGCAAGCATTTTGTTTGCTGTTACAACAGACTGCTCCTTTTTCTTCTAACAGAGAGGTGACCCTGACTACCTATTAGCCCATTTAACTGCCACAAGGAGAAATGATTGTGGGAATCAGAAGGTAGAGATGGAAAGTCTGTGTACTTTCTTTTTGAAGGGATCAGTGTAAGGAGTGACTCAACAGCGACCCTGAGATTGAGCCCAGCAGCGTGGACTCAGGGCCACCACAACGCCTGCCTGCCCAGCCCTACCTTAAATCCCTTAGGTCTTGGTCCTCTTGAATACCTCTTTTCCCAGCACTACCATAAATCTCCTAAGTCTTGGCCCCTTACGGCCCACTGGCCCAAGTAAGCTTAGAGACCTTCAAGGTCCACCAATCCCAGGAGGCATTTCTCCCTAATGTCCACCTATAGCCACATCTGCCAGTCCCTGACCCTGCACTCCCCATTCCCACCTCGATGCTGTAAAGGTGCCTCTTCCCTTTGTTCTCTCTTCTCGTGCTCTCTCTGCTCTTCTCATCCTTTACTTGGTCTCCCTCTGCCCAACAGCTACCTCACTTGCCAGCATAAAGACCTCTTGTGTGGCTCACTTGCCGTGACGGGTGTCTTGGATTTGTGGCAAAAAGCTAACGATCGGGGTTTGTAACCCCAAACCATGTCACTTGTGGCATAAAAATTATTTTGAGTGGGGAATGGGATTATTTTGAAGGACGAGGATTATTGGCGTGAGTTCCTCCTTGCCCCCTCTCCAGGGCACCTCTGATCTCTCACACCTGACATTACCCCAAGACTCACTGGACAGATCTGTTCCCCTAAGGACTCGTTCATCTTCCCAAAATGTCACTTGCTTTTCCTTTCTCTCTTTTAAGTTAAACATACAGAACCCCAGTTCTAACTAGCCGCTTGAGTTACTCGTCTCAAAGGGATGCTCCCAGGTGTGTGCCTGAAGCACCTGTGGATGAACTTCTGGTTTTCTCTGTTTAATCTATCTTTGGCCAGCCTGATTTAGAGGGTTCTTCCCTGAGAAGGTTGGAGTAGAGTCAGAAAATGATTTTTCTTTCCGTTTCCACAGCTCACCCATGACCTATACAAAGTTGTTCCACATCCTCCTGTTCCTTATTATGAGTAAAGCTAAGCATGAGAAAGCAATGCATTCTCAGGAAAGAATGAGCTATTTGCATCAAGGTCTGACCGCAGGACAGGAAATGGCAAGAAATTGAATTTTGTTGGTGGAATTTTAAAAATGGTTATTTTGGGCCTGGTGCGGTGGCCTAGTAGCTAAAGTCCTTACCTTGAACGTGCTGGAATCCCCTATGGGCACTGGTTCTAATCCCAGTGGCGCTGCTTCCCATCCAGCTCCCTGTTTGTGGCCTGGGAAAGCAGTCGAGGACATCCCAAAGCCTTGGGACCCTGCACCCGTGTGGGAGAACCTGAAAGAAGCTCCTGGCTCCTGGCTTCAGATGGGTGCATCACTGGCCGTTGCGCTCACTTGGGGAGTGAATCATTGGACGGAAGATCTTCCTCTCTGTCTCTCCTCCTCTCTGTATATCTGACTTTGCAATAAAAATAAATAATTTTTTTTTTTTTTAAAAAAGCAGTGTTCTATCCTGGTGCTGCAACTCGCCTGTTTTTTTTTTTTAAAAGGTTACTTTTAAGCCCGGCGTGGTAGTCTAGTGGCTAAAGTCCTCAACTTACAAGTGCTAGAATTCCATAAGGACGCTAATTCGTGGGTCTCAGCTGCCTCACTTCCCATCCAGCTTGTGGCCTGGGAAAGAAGTCAAGGTTGGCCCAAAGTCTTGGGACTCTGCACCCACATGAACAAATCTTAAAAAAAAAAGGCTATTTTTGAGTTGGGTGAATTTCCCCAAAGCCTATAAATAAACCTTCCTTGTATAACAAAACAGCATCAGTCTCCAAGAAAATGTGTCTCCCAAGCATCTGAAGGCAGGTGCTGGTCTCACATGGCTTTTTGGGTTCTTTTCACAGTCAAGCAGTTAAGTCATGGGAAGAAGGGCAGCCATTCCTTTTAGCTTTAGGCAGGAGTCAGTTGATTTCAATAATTTAGTGGAGAATTTGCATCTGCCCTAAACTTCTGCTAAAACTTCCCATCTTTCACCGGAACAACTTCAAGCAACTATCAGGATTTTTTCAAAATTGGAAAGGCAGTCAGATGTAGAGGAGAGGCAGAGAAATCTTTCATCTGCTGATTCACTCCGCAAAGGGCCTCACGGGCTGCAGCTGAGCCAATCCAAAGCTAGAGGCCAGGAGCTTTTTTCTGGGTGGAACAGCCTGGGCACAAACCAGCATCCATATAGGATCCCTACACTTGCAAGGTGAGGATTTAGCCTTTGAGTCGTTGTACTGGGCCCATCTTGGTTCTATCTGCCTTCCCTTCTCTAACCAGGAGCCCCCTAACCAACTGCCACATCTCTGACCAGCTGCCCACATGTCACCCATGGTAGCTCAACAAGCTCTTCTGTGCTCCTGAGCACACAGTACAAACTACAGACAGGGTACTGCACACGTTAGTTTTTTTAGAGTCCATCTTCTGAGGCTCCCGGAACATGAAAAAGAAATCAAAACAGGTTTAGCTATAGTTAGCGATGATATATTGTGTTGTTGAAATGCTAAGAGGACAACACGACAGCTCAGTTGGCTAATCTATCTGCAAGCATCAGCATCCCACATTAGGTGTCCTTTTGTGTCCCAGCAGCTCCACTTCCCATCCAGCTCCCTGCTTGTGGCCTGAGAAAGCAGTGGAGGATGGCCCATGTCCTTGGGACCCTGCACAGCATTGCTGTGCAGACTGACAGCATTGCTTGTTTGGGCTCAGCTCTGGCCACGGCACCCACCTGGGGAGTGAACCTGCAGACTGTTTTCTCTTTTTCTCTGTTTTTCTTTCTCTTTGTAAATCTGCCTTTCCAATAAAAAAAGAGAAAGAAGTGCTAAGAGAGTAAATATTACATCTTCTTACCACAAAAATAACTAGAAATGATATGTTTATAGCTACATTTGAGATTACACATGTGTACATTTTACATTACACATATACTTCAAAATATTATATGTAAGTAATTTTATATTTCACTTAGAAATAAATTTTGAAGGAAATTTTCAAAATTTGCACTTAGTTAATCCACCAATAGAAACCTTCACCTAGACACAAATAACTTATGCATTCATTTGTGGAATATATACACAATATATTTGCTTATAAATAAGAAGCCTGTCACAGTTTTTCTGAATTCCCCACAGTAGCCTCTGTTAGGGTTGTAATTTTGGTTTCTTTCCATGTTTTTATGCACTGTTTCCTTGCTCTAGTTTCTGTTTAAGTTCTTACTTAAATGTCACTTCACATTTGTTTTCTTCTTCCAAGTCATCATATTAATTTGGATGTATCCTTTTTAAAAAGACATATTTAGTTTTATTTGAAAGATAGATTTATTGGGGAGGCATGGGTCTTCCATCCACTGTTTCACCACCGAAACTACTGCAGTTGCTGGAGCTGAGCCCACCTGAAAGCGGAAGCCTCCTTCAGTTCTCCCAGGAAGGTGCAGGAGCCCAAGGACTGGGAGCATTCTCTACTCCACTTCTTTCCCAGGCCATAAGCAGGAGCTGGATGGGACGTGGAGCAGCTGGGACACAAACGGTTCCCCTTTTGGGATGCTGGAACTTGAAGGTAGAGGATTAGCCTGCTGAGTCATCACATTGACCCCAGGTGTATCCTTTTTAATACTAAATTAGAATAGCCATCTGGCAGAGCCACTGCTCTAGCCTGCAAAAGCAGCTCACAAAGGCCCTGAATCCAGTGAGAGACCTGAGGAAGCTCCTGGCTTTGGATTGCTTCAGCTCTGGCTGTTGGGACCATGTAGGGAGTGAACCAGTGGTTGGAAGATCTTTCTCACGGTCTCTCCTTCTCTCTGCAAATCTGCCTTTCCAATAAAATAATCATTAAAAATCATAGCTACCTTCTAGTAATTGCTTATGTACTCCAGGCTTTATAAAACATGTTACATGGGTAGTCTTACTTTGCTCTCATGGCAGCGCTGTGGGATAGCTGATACGCCTCATCTTGCTTCCTTTCCCAGGTTAAGTGGTAAGAACCAATTCCCATTCCTGAGAGCTTGTTTACGGGTTCTTACAGGGGAGCACTGCTACCCCTGACTGAAGAGGGGCCTCCTCTTTCAGCGTGCAGCTTTGCCAGGGATGCACATGGAGGCCTGAAGGAGGAGGGGGACGCTTGCCTAGCCAGCCAGATCAGCTCAATCAACCCTGGCGATCAGTGAGGTGGCAGATGGTGCAGCCAGGTCCCTCACGTCCCAAATTCTCATTCTCCAAACTGAAGGTCCCGATCATTTCTGGTGACAGGAAATCAGAAATTTGAGAAGGGAAACATTCTCTTTCCTCCACAGCCACAGAAGCACAGAGGGCCCTGTGCCTGAGAAGGTGACAGACTGAGAATCTTGTGGCCTTGCCACTGCAGTGCCCAGTGAATGGACTGGGGAAATTCAGCTGATACTGGTCAGAACTCTGTCACTAAAAGGAGTTTTTAAAAAAAGATTTATTTATTTTTGTTGCAAAGTCAGATATATATATATATATATATATATATATAGAGAGAGAGAGAGAGAGAGAGAGAGAGAGAGAGAGAGAGAGAGAAGGAGAGACAGAGAGGAAGATCTTCCATCCAATGATTCACTCCCCAAGTGACTGCAATGGCTGGTGCTGCGCCCATCTGAAGCCAGGAGATCTTCTGGGTCTCCTAGGTGGGTGCAGGGTCCCAAGGCTTTGGGATGTCCTCGACTGCTTTCCCAGACCACAGTCAGGGAGCTGGATGGGAAGCGGGACTGCCAGGATTAGAACTGGTGCCCATATGGGATCCTGGAATGTTCAAGTCAAGGACTTTAGCTGCTAGGCCACTGCACCAGACCCAGTGAAGGGAATTTCTAAGGCAACTGTATATGAGTTATTGTATTCTTTTTTGGAATGTCTTATTATCCTGAACTTAATGTTTGAACAGATACCCCAATTTTCAGAGTTCTAATTCTTTTTATTATTATTATTGGAAAGGCAGATACAGAGAGGATCTTCCATCTGTTCATTCACTGCCCTGGTGGCTTCAATGGCTGGAACTGTGTTGATTCAAAGCCAGGAGCCTGGTTTAATCTTCCAGGTCTCCCACGCAGGTGCAGGGTCCCAAGAATTTGGGCCATCCTCATCCCAGGCCACAAGCAGGGAGCTGGATGGGAAGTGGGGTGGCTGGGATTAGAAGCAGTTTGCATATGGAATTCTGGCATATGCAAGGTGAGGACTTTCGCCATAAGGGTACTATGCTGGGTCCATACAGTTATAATTCTTGATTTTTTTTTCCCTTAAGCTAGAGGATGATTCTTGGAATTTGTTAGTTATATTACAAAAGTAAAATAGATCTCATGTCCCTTGGATTCTTTATTTTTCATTTTCATTTTTTAAATTTTTTCTTATCTCTTGGATTCTATCCTTGAATATAGAAGTTCGCTCAGACCTTTACAGTCTCTGTTCCAAGGCCCCCAGAGATGTGTGAAAGCTCAGTTCACACCCACACCTGTGCTTCCGCCTGTGATGCAGTCCAGTCTATAAACCAGCCGCAATGGGAGATGAGCAATAACTCACAATAACTTACAATTACTTAGTATACTGTCATACAGTTTGTGTTTTAAGGCCGTTATGAACATAAGGTCACTGGAATCCAAGCACCGGGGAGCTCCACAATGTGGTAAGTCAGTATCTAACAGGCAAGTAACAAGCTTACAGCTGGGATCATGCAGGATAAAGGGGGTGGGGAGGGAACTCCCGGTCCAAGTGGAGAGCTGTGAGATTCAATGACACTACTCAAAACGGCCTCACAATTTAAGCTCAGAATGATTTACTTCTGGAGTTTTGCATTTGACATTTTCTGACTATAATTGATAAAAAAAAAAAACCACAACAGATAAGGGGAGATGGGTTGAACTTGAGCATCTGAAATTTAAATGAACATAGCCGTCCATTACGGCCAAGCCTGTAAGGCGACACAGGCACACCGCAGTGGGTGTGCTAGGCTGCTCTGCAGGCCCCTCAGGGCACTTCCCTCCGGATGGGAACAAGTCCGTGAGGTTTGAGAAACCTGGTACAGCTTGATTGCAGGATGGGAAAATGTTGCCATGCTTCAGTGTACCCCATGAGCCTCATGAAACAGGACATTTCATCATTATAATTGGATTCTCACATTAGAATATTAGTGGACTGTTTCTTATCTGACTCAGTTTTCTTATCTGTAAAATGGCACAGGATTAAATGTTTTTTAATGTGTTTTTATCCCTTTAACTACGGATTATTTTACCCATATCCTGGCGAGGCACTGAGCTCACGGTAAGATGTCAGACTTGCTAGAAATTACTGTCAACAGAGAAACGGCTTAACCAATTTATGCCCCTAAGCAGGATTGGATTCCAACCAATGGGAGCACAAATTCAGAAACGCCTAAATTTCTTGGCCCAATGAAGACAACGTTGTGTCTATAAATACGAGTGCCCTAGCGTTTGTTCCCTGAAAGACACCATGGCCCGCACGAAGCAGACGGCCCGCAAGTCGACGGGCGGCAAGGCCCCGCGCAAGCAGCTGGCCACCAAGGCGGCCCGCAAGAGCGCGCCGGCCACGGGCGGCGTCAAGAAGCCGCACCGCTACCGGCCGGGCACGGTGGCGCTGCGCGAGATCCGGCGCTACCAGAAGTCGACGGAGCTGCTGATCCGCAAGCTGCCGTTCCAGCGGCTGGTGCGCGAGATCGCGCAGGACTTCAAGACGGACCTGCGCTTCCAGAGCTCGGCCGTGATGGCGCTGCAGGAGGCGAGCGAGGCGTACCTGGTGGGCCTGTTCGAGGACACGAACCTGTGCGCCATCCACGCCAAGCGCGTCACCATCATGCCCAAGGACATCCAGCTGGCGCGCCGCATCCGCGGGGAGCGCGCCTGAGCGGCGTGAGCTGAAATCTACCTAAAGGCTCTTTTCAGAGCCACCCACGTCCTCGCTAAAAGCAGCTGTTCCGCTCGGCGGCTTCCCCCACGCAGCTAATCCAGCTGGTTCACCCTGGTCCTGTGCTTAGATTATGGAGAGCGCGCTTTAACAACCAGTACCCCGCAGCAGAGGAAAGGTTAAAAAAGCAGGGAAATCTTGTCATGTTGAGATTGCCAGAATTTACTACAGTCGGTTCGGAAGGCTCCTTAGGCTTTGTGTAATACAGGGAGCTGAGGTGGGAAGTGCTTGGTGGTTTTTCGATAAGACGCAAGAATGAACTGCACAGAATAGTAAAGCAACGTAAGAGGATAATGCTTAGACACAATTTTGGGACGTTTGAAAGCCCTTAAACGGGTGAAATGCAGTGTAACTGGGTAGTGTAAAAAGCGCATTCTGATTGGCTCACAAGTTTTGCTGTAATGACCACTAGGAACGTGTGTCCAGAATCTTACGGACGCAGTCTCCACCCCCCTTTGTGACATCACTATGGTGAAAGGACCAATTAAAAAGCAGTGCAGTGCGAGCCTTCATTTACATACGAGCTCTATAAGTAGCGTGTAGGTCGTCTTCTTTACTGCAGTTGTCGACTGATCGTTTTTGGCGTTTACTGCTTCTTTACGAAACAGAACCATGCCGGATCCGGCCAAGTCCGCTCCTGCTCCCAAGAAGGGATCGAAGAAAGCCGTTACAAAGGTCCAGAAGAAGGACGGCAAGAAGCGTAAGCGCAGCCGCAAGGAGAGCTACTCCGTCTACGTGTACAAGGTGCTCAAGCAGGTGCACCCCGACACCGGCATCTCGTCCAAGGCCATGGGCATCATGAATTCGTTTGTCAACGACATCTTCGAGCGCATCGCGGGCGAGGCGTCGCGCTTGGCGCACTACAACAAGCGCTCGACCATCACGTCCCGGGAGATCCAGACGGCCGTGCGCCTGCTGCTGCCCGGCGAGCTGGCCAAGCACGCCGTGTCCGAGGGCACCAAGGCCGTCACCAAGTACACCAGCTCCAAGTAAGGGGTCGCAAGGGACACGGTAGATCTACGTTACACCAAAGGCTCTTTTCAGAGCCACTTCAGTATTCGGAAAGAGCTGTAAAACTGAAACAGTTGGTGATGTAGGCCGGATGCGACCGAGGAGGCGGGTGCTGCAGACTGCAGCAACTCGCGGTCTTGTGGCGTTGCCTAGGGATAGCATTGTTTGCTGAACACAAAAGTCCTGTCCACCTGGTTTTGGGTCTGGCGCAGAGGTCTTTACTGGGAGTCCTAACCTCACCATTGTCCCTTGCCTTCCTCAGTCCCAGTGACTTGAAGTCAAATTCCGCTTTGGGGTCCCATGGGACATTTTTAAACATCTATTGATTATCGTGTCGTAGGAAGGGCAGAGGTGCGCAATGCTGCTACGCATCCTGAAAAAGGGCAATTCGGTTCACGACCACCGCAGGTAGAAGTTAGTGAGGCTTTTTGCCCCAAGACCTCTTAACCGAAGATGGAGCCCCATCTTCCTCTGACCCTGGCTTTATCTGCAGCCCCTGTTAGCGCTCTGCACTCGGTGGTTAAATTAGCCTCCAGCTCTGCTGCGTGAACGCTGTGCTTGCGAGGTTTCCTAGTGCTCGCAGGTTGAAGTGAGGCCTGGGAAGGAAGTCTTGGCCTCCTCTCATAGGTTTTGGGAGTATCTGCATAGTAGGCTCTCAAATCTGGGTGCCTCAGGTCAGAGCTTGTCACAGGTGCTCTGTGGTAGGAATTTGAGGATGGAAGGAGAATAATGTGTGATATACAAGAAGTTGATAGAATGAATTTCTGAAGACGCCAGTCTGCGCCACTTAGGACTTGTTCCCATAACAACTAGTGGGTTTCTTTTCACTGAGTAAAACACACGTTAAGACAATAAGCAAGTTACAATTAAAGGTTTTAAGTCAATTTTTTTTTTTTACAAAACAATTTTACTCCCAACACAGGAATTAAAATTTTACACTAGTCTAAATTACATAAAATGTACTATGATTTCATTTCTTCCCAGAAATTTTTAAGGTCTCTCCCCTGTCTTTGTCTCAAATGACCACTAGACAAAAGGCTGTGGGAAGTTGACTCAATTGAGATTCTAAAATTTCCAGCAAAAGGTATGAAATGAATATGAAAACATTTTAGTGGGAAAAAAATTAGGCCAAGGAGGTTTTTTTAAATATGTAGTCACACCACCAGAAAGTCCTAATCTGGGACCGGAAAGTTGGATTCCCCGTCTCATCTTTCCAGGTTGTTAAAGCCTTGCTTGTTGACTCAATTAGCAACCCAAGAGCTAGCATTTGTTATTTATTGAGCAAACAAGTCTTAAATCCTCATCCTGAGACTGAAGACCTTCTATCACCTGGCCCAAAACTCTTAAATTACCCCTCCTGTTGCCTAGCCAGGAAGACCTGCTTTGCAATGCATCTTGAATTTCTCTTCTCTGTTTTCTGATATTCTCCCGAGGTTTTGTACAGTTGTTCTCTAGGCTGCCTCGAGATTAGTAGTCAACCTGTCAGTTCCTTAAACTTCACTGAGACATCATTTTATCCTGTTCTAATTAATGGCAATATTTTCCTTTTAATTTTTTAAAGATTATTTTTATTGGAAAGTCAGATATACAGAGAGGAGGGCAGAGAGGAAGATCCTCTGTCCGATGATTCACTCCCCAAGTGACTGCAATGGCTGGTGCTGAGCAGATCCAAAGCCCGGAGCCAGGAATTTCCTCCAGATCTCCTGCTCCCACCAGCAGAGCCAGTAACGGTGGACAGGGAGAGGGTCTGGGATGCAGCGCCGACAGACCAGTGATGGTGGAAGTCTCCGTGAAGCTCTATTGCTCCTCACCTCTCCTCATACCGGCTTTCCCCCATGTCCTCATTTAGCAGGATATTGGATACAGATGAGTCCAATTAGTCCAGGTGTTTTTAGCTACAAGCCCAGTTCCTGTTCCTGCCCTGGCCAAGGAGCGCTAATCAACTCTTCAGCCCACAACAGTCTCCCACATGGGTGCAGGGTCCCAAGGCTTTGGGCCGTCCTTGACTTCTTTCCCAGGCCACAAGCAGGGAGCTGGAAGGGAAGTGGGGCTGCCAGGATTAGAACTGGCACTCATATGGGATCCCAGCGTGTTCAAGGTGATAACTAGCAACTAGGCCACCGCTCCAGGCCCGTTCTTTTAATTCTTAAGGCTTTGTTCTTTGTACAATTAACACCTGATTGCTTAGCTCTCTGGCCTGTATAGCCTTGTGCCTTGATTTCTTTTACCTTCTTGTATCTTCATCCTCTCAATAGGGCAGAATCTTGATGTTCTTTCACAAAGACCTACGTTTGTGCAACTTAAACTTTGTTATGTGCACTACAACACTGATTGTTGAGGTGAAAGATTCAAATACCACAATAGGTATTTTCCTTAACTTTGTATTGCTCCTTTAATACGGAATAATCTTTAAACCACTATTGATAATTATTGTCCCAGTTAAATTACTTCATTAGAGACTCAGAGGGCCTGGCGCAATGGCTCAATTGGCTAATCTACCCCCTTTAAGCACTGAGATTTCATATGGGCAGTTGTTTGTGTGCTAGCTGCTCCACTTCCCATTCTGCTCCCTGCTTACGGCCTGGGAACGTAGAGGAAGATGGCCCAAAGCTTTAGGACCCTATACCGGCTTGGGAGACCTGGAAGAAGCTCTTGGCTCCTGGCTTAGGATCTGCTCAGCTCTGGCCTTTGTGGCTACGTGGGGAGTGAACCAGTAGATAGAAAAATCTTTTTCTCTCCTCCTTTTTGTAAATCCGCCTTTCTAATAAAAATGATTCAATCTTAAAAAAAAAAAAAGACTCTGCTTGAGAGTGGTAGATAGTTCAGTACTACACTGGGGGGCTTCAATTCAGCCAGTACGTGTCTCTCGTTAGAATACTGAGTTTGGAATGGAGATTCCCCACCTGGTTTGAGATGCTGGAGAAATGTTAGCTTTTTCCAGCATTTTAAACAAGGATAAAAAGAAGCGACAAACTATTTGGTATTTGGGTAGAGCTTTAAATACTAGATTCACAGTACTTTGCAATTATAAAAATGGTCTTGGCCTAAGTCAGGGGTCAGATGTTGCTGAGACTGGTATGTTTTCCAGGATGGGTGAACACACTGTGGTATGTTTATAGAAGCCTACAAAAGATAATGTTTTGTCATGACTTTTTTAGACAAGTGATTTACTTTAAAGCTGGGTAAAATTGCTAATGCTGATGGAAAAGTTAAATACAATTAAATTTGGGCATTACAATTCAAACACAGGACTGTAGTTGGGAAATAAGGATAAGATCTCTGTGGGATTAACTACGAGTTAGCAAAAGAACATCAGTGTTTAATAAGAAAGGGACCATTGCTTTGGGTAATTACTAGATATAAAGAAACATGTTGCCCTCTACACTTGGCTGCTGTAGTTGAATTATGCAGATCAAATGCCATGGCCCAGTTCCTTTCCCAACAGCAGGACTTTCCTGGATCTCTGGGGATTTGAGGATCATATATTGGCATTAGAGCAGCAAGACCTTCTTTAACCAATGTTGCAAATCCTATCCATTTATTTCCAAAACATCACGCAATCAAGCATTCCTGCATTTTACTGCCAGGACTTTTGATTCTGTAGACTCTCAGAGTATCTGCTATTATAGCTCACTGGGTGGAGAAAACGATATATAAAAACAAATGACTTTGTAATGTCTGTAAGTAGTATTCAAAAGGGCCTGAAAAATCTTTGGCAAATACCTTATTTTCCTACCAGAGGATATTTGCTATACTTCACATCAATGCTCTCAGAAACGTTGAAGTACGTTTCATTACACATCTCTTTTTAATAGACAACTCTGACTTTGGAAGGTTTAACATAAGAATAAAGCTATGTGGCTAGAGATGACCTTGACCACTATTTGGTAGCACAGAGCAGGATACACTTGAGATAGTCAGAAGGAGAATGTGAAAATAACTTGGAAATGTTTGATATAGAAACTAAAAAATGGACTTGGTGAATTCACATTGATCATTTATGCTTGTCAAACTATTTTCCAGCATTAAGAAGTTCCCGTTCTTGTCACCTATCGGATCTGAAGTTTTCCCAAGAATGCAAGGAGCTCTTATTTTTCCAACTACAGTCTAGAGAATGGCCAGCAAGTAAGATGATAAAAATCCCAGGCCCTTTGGCTAGTAACTCATTTCATAATTAATAACTATGCTATATAGTTCCATTAAAGAGACTGTTGATCAATGCAATGAATTTTGCTTCAGATAGCCAAACCCAGAAATAACAAAATAAAGTTACAGAACTGAGATGTTCTTTAGTAACTGTCTCTGGTGTATGTACATTTGGATGCTAATCCACTGTTCTCAAGAGGGCAGGTGGGTGGAGGTGTGGAATTGGCTCAAAATTTAGAGGGGAAGAGATCCAGGGACTGGAGGAGAACAGGCATCCAGAAAAAAAAAAAAAAAAGGATAGCACAAGTGAAGGCTACAAAGAAACAAATCATTTGTTTTTTATATGAATCTGAGGTGATAATTGCAAATTGCCAGAAGTCAGCGAAACTTCTGAGTTTCGCTCTCAGTGTCCCAATGCCTGCAGACAGCAGCTCGCTTTCTCCCTTGGCAGCAATATTTTGGCTTTCTTTTCTGATCTGTGGGATTTTCATTTTCAAATGCATCAAATGGTTTAGGCCAGGAAGGAATGTGAAACAGAGTTCAGATATTACCACAAATATAACCCTTGGCAATGGTTGTTCTAAAGAAGATTCCAGTCCCAGGATTGGACTGCAAATGACCTGAATTTTCTCTCTAGAGATAATCTTTAGATCATTTCTCTCTCGAACTGTTGTTTGTCTCGGGTGGCATGGCTGCTGACCTGAGACCCTGTGTGTGGAAAGCCTGGTGTGTGGAACGCTGAGTAGGGAACAGGTGTGTTCACTGAGCCCTGCTACAGGATGGCAGCCATCATGACTGTGCCTCTGAGCATTTCTGTAAAGGATCTAGTTGTGTCAAATATTTAACATTTCTCCATGTGTGTTAGAATATTCTGGTTTTCGTAACTTTGTTTCCCACATTAGTATCAAGGTTTTAAAAAATGGAAACTGCTCCTAAATGAAATAATGTATCTACAGAAAACTACACTTGTAGAATTAGCAGGAGAGCTAAGGCACAGCATGGATGCCAACCCTCAGCCTAGAGGGAAAAAAGGCAAACCTTTTTTTTTTTTAATATAAAGGAAACTTGTTTCTTGGAGTTTATGGTTGTAGGGATATGTTTGGAAGGGAAATAGGAATAAGAGATTTTTTTCTGGGTTAATATATATGCAAATCATTTATAGTGAGGAAAAAGTAAAGTTGCAAAGATTACAGAAGCAAAATAAAACAAAGAAAAGCAACAACAAAAAATTCTTGCTGGCATGAGAAGATAATAATACGTTACAGGTGTGAGTAAATCATGTAGATTGAGTTGATGGAAGAAACGTCCCTATACCACAGCAGAGTCACTTTGGGGCAGAGGATGATGCATTTCTAAAGTCTTCTGGCCACGTCATTGTGTAGTTCATTCATAAAGAATGTAGGTTCCTGAGATAGACCCTCTGGTGTGTAACCTGGTTCTGGTCTTCTTTAGTAACATAATGAGGCAAAGTTTCTTTTCTCCCGAAACCTTTGCTTATTTGAAAGGCAGAGCCAGAGGAAGGGGGGAAGGGAAGAACGTGAGATTCATCTTCTATCCATGGGTTCCATTCCCCAGGGGCTGTAAAATCCAGGCCCGAGTCAGGCCAAAGCTGACAGCCAGCAACTCCATCCTGGCTAGCCACACATGTGGCAGAAGCCCAAGCCTTTCCAGGTGGATGAGCAGGAAGCTTGATCAAAAGCAGAGTAGCGGGGACTTGAACTGACACTCCAGGATGGTGATTCAATCCATTACACCCCAACACTATTTTGTAGGCTAACCTTTTAAAATTAGTGTTTCCTTATCTTACAATTCAGAATGATACTAGTGTTTACTGATACAAGATACTTGAGAAAATATATAATACATGTAATAATGCTTAGATTAATACTTGATACGTAATACTTGATATTGACAATAGGAAAATTCTACTGAGTTCTGTGAAAATTTCTTTTTATTTATTTATTATTATTATTTGATACAGTTCCGTAGGTCCTGGGATTTCCCCTACTCCCACACCAAGTCTCCCCCACCACTGAATTCCCTTATATTATTACTATAGTTCAGTTCTTCATGAACTGTCATATGTCCATCATTGCGGGCTATGCAAATTTCTTATTTCCAGTGTATTACAAATGACTATATGCCACATTCTTCCCATTTCCCACCACAAACTTTTGGAAGTGATAAACAAAAATTGCCCCAAAAAAGGGTGGCGGATGGAATAAGTATGAAGTATGTGGAGAACTGTGACAGTAGCAGTGAGCCAAGCAGTGATCCTTGCTTTCTATCCGGGGGCGGTGGGGGAG